TCACTTGAACCAAAGTTAATATCTGTCACTTCTCTTTCCAATAGAGATATTTCACTTAACTAAAAAATTACTAAAATTAAATCCTTGCTCACATCATTTTTTGCTTGAGTGGTTTATTGCTTAAGGGAATTATGCAAAACCATAATAACACCAAAAGATGCTAATTTGGCCCAAACTTCTCACGTTCAATTCCAAAATAAATTTTATCATAACTTTCACAAATTACCACTCAATTTTACCAACTTAGTTTTCCTTCTCCAAAATTCTAAATAGGTAACAAATGTTTTTAAATAATCACTAATGAACAAGATTTTATTTATATAATAAATTAAACTAAAACATCAAGTTTACCTAACTTAAGTCAAGTTTGTAAAGGTCTATATTATAACACCTCAGTACCAAAATGATACTCATTAACCCAATCTGAAATTTAACTAAAACTTCAAAATCAATAACATATTCATCAACATAATTTAACCATATCAAAATCACAATTCCCCATGAAAATATTATTTATATTAAAACCGATAACAATTCATAATAAGCATAATTAGTCATGAATGTAAAGTCAATTTCAAACAATGCATAACAACATTATTACCATCATGTCATATATAATGAACCTAAAAATTATTATTATAATGATGCCTTCGCAAAATAATAAACAAGTAAATAACGACATCTATCTTATATTATATTATTATAATTATAACATAGATTGAAATTTTGGTTCACTAACGTAACTTTAAAATATAGTACCATAATTTATTTATATATTATACATGAAAAAGTAGTTCCTCGAAGCTATCTCACTGTTGTCTAGTAGTCACATCACCATCTCTCAACTCCTAATCTGCTCCCACATAAAAGTGATCATCGCAGTCCTATCCACATGGAAAAATAGGGGTAAGTATTAAATCATTCGATATAATAAAACAAATATAGAAGTAATAATTATATATTATGATCAATTACGAAATTATCAACACACTAAGACACATTCCAGAAATATACTCTAACTATGCCCGAACTCAGAGGCTATCATCTGTGGGCACATTGTGATCGGTACCCGCATTACCATTCTGACCACCCTCCACATAGAGTAGGATTACTGGCGCCCTTCATCACTCATACTGGAGTACCCCTCCGAGCACGCCACCAGTCATCCCCCATCGACTTCTCACCACCCGATCTCGTAGCTCTACCCGACCCGACCAATCGGTGAAGTCCGGGACCTCATTCGTAATCCTCCGACATAGTTATTACACTAATGTACTTTGTACCACCCCGGTACCATTCAAACATAACAAAAATTATTCACATTTGCTTGATTCTGGACCACCTGTCCTCACGACTCATTCGAATCAATAAATAATAGTATTTGACCGATTCTCGCACCAACCCTCCAGCTCGCTCTAGCCAATATATAACGTCTCATGACTGATTCAGGGCATCAGCCCTCAGACTCAGTCTGACCCACACACATCACAACACATTACTTTCATTTTTTTTCTCTCTTTATAAATATATTTTTCTAAAATCATTTCCGAAATCATTTCCAAAACTATTTCCGAAACTATTTTCGAAATCATTTCCAAAATTATTAAATTACTGTTTTGCCCTTAATCTTTTCTTAAAATTTCATGTATGTCCCTAAATGACTATTTTACCCTTGGATCTTTTTGAAAATTCCTTCCATGTCCCAAAAATGACTATTTTACCCTTGATCAATTTCGAAAATTTCATTTATGTCCCTATGATGTAAAATGACTATTTTGCCCTTGAACATTTTCAAAAATTACATTTATGTCCCTATGATGTAAAATGACTATTTTACCCTTGATCTTTTTAAAAAATCTCACCATATCCCTTTCTTCTTCCTTCGCCAACATCGAAATTTGCAGATTTTTTGCAGATTTCAAATTACTCAGTTTTAGACAACCAAACTAGTCCCAAATCGAAATTAAACATGAATTATATCTAATTTAAGTTGAAAAAAACAATTTTACCATATAATTCATCCTTAATTTTAAGAATTTCAAAAACTTTCAAACCATGAATAGTGCATCCAAAATCACACATTCAAATAATTCATATCTCTACTCTTATTCCTTATTCACAGAGTACCCAGCAATTCAATTTCATATATTGAATGAATTAAATTTTCCCTTACCTGGTATGGTGTTTCTACCGAAGCTTTCCCCCTTAATTCAAACTCTCTCCCGTTTCACCAGATCCTGCACGAGTAGAGTCTGGTTGCTTGAAATTTAGACAATAAAATAAGAAGAATGAGGAACATGTGACATAAGAGGAAAAGTTTTCCGTAGAAACCATTCATCCCCTCGAACATATATAAAAGAAAAAAATTTACTTTGGATGAAGAAAAGTTGGTTACGAAGTTTTCTTGCTTATACATTTAAAATTGTTTCTTAGATTATTCAAAATATAGTCTCTATAAGTTTTATCACCTATAACCAAGTTACATTTGCAGATCTAGATCTTTTAATTTAGGGCATTCGTAATTAGCTTTCCTTATTTGAGATTCTAGTTATCCTAGTCAAAACTCTAATAAAATCTAACTTAACACGATGTTCAAACTTTTTATAAAAAGTCTCAATTAATAAATTAAAGATACTAAATATTCATCTTTCTTCACAATAACAGCATGCAAACATAATTTCCCAGGCAACCATTTTAGTTACAAGAAAAAAATTTACTTTAAATATGATTCAAATAGGATGATAATTTCTTATTTATTACATTAAAATGAATTTAAATTTAGAAAATTTTAAAATAAAAGCACAACATATATGTTTAGATAAATAATAAATTTTATAAAATGAAATTTAAAGAATTAAATTTTTTATTTATAAAATTTTAGTTAGAATTTTCATAATTCATCTCAATTTAATTACTTTACTCATAAAGTATTACATGCTCCTTATATTTCACATTCGAAACACTTTCATATTTACCATTTATAAAAGAAAAAAATCTCATTAGCATGATATATTTATACTGCATCTATGTTTATTACATCGTGATGTAAATAGAATTTCTATAATATTTTATTTGATAAATGAAAATGAGAATATCCAAATATTATCTCCAAATTAATTAATTAATGATCATATTTTTACAATAGTAATAATAATAATAATTTTATATATCATTTATCAAATAACATAAGTATATATAATAAAATTATATTTTATTTTATTTTAATATGATTTTTTTCATTTATCTAATATTTTTGAAATAAATTGTTTTAATTAAAGTAAAAAATATTTTGATAAACTAGACATTTCCTTGTATCAGAATAATATTTAAAAAAAATCATCTGTATTCATAAACTCTCATTTTGAGTTACATATTTATAACAGCTTCTTAAAACAGTTTTTAGAAATAATACTAATTGAATCCGCAAGCATATATATTTCATAAAAAAACATGTTAATGAACATGGAAGAAATCATGTCACATAAGTAAAGAAATAAAAGAAAGAATGAGAGATCAAATTGATAAAAAAAAAAATCAGTTATAATAAAATGAAAGGAATAAAAAAAATATGTAAATAAAAAAAGTGAGTAAGAAAAAAATTGAAATTTGATGGAAAAATTATTTAAATGACTTAGAGAAATAGATAAAAATATAAAAATTAACAGTAGAAAAAGAAAACTATATAAATTGATAAAAAAAAGAGTATTTTTATCTTCTTTTTAGAGTGTTAAATAAACAGCACCTTTTCCTATTTATTTTAATAAAAATTATCATTAATTTTTTTTAATTATAAATATTAATTTTAATTTATAAAATTTTAATCTGTAAAGCTTCGTTGATATTAATTTTTAAATAAAGGAAGAGTAAGCATAAATCTTTACACAAAGGATGTAAAAACGATAAATTATTATTCAATTTCTAATTATATATAATAATTAAAAATCAATAGTTAAAATAAAAAATAATTTTCTAATTCTTATATATATAATAAATGACTTACAAGTCAGAATTATCATAATTTCTAATTATTGATATTTATAAAATGTAAAATAATTTAAAATAATAATAATAAATTTGTAAAATAAAAATTATTAGCTTTCCTTATCTAAAGGCAGGCACTTGGGCATGAGATAAATAGTACTTTTCACTTACTCTGGTTCCTTGGGATAGTACTTGTTCAACTTCACTCCGCAATCTGTAAGTCATTCTCTTGTACACCTTTAATCTTTTCTTTCTTTCTCCATTTCTTTTTATTCTTTCATATTTATTACAGTGTGTTCTAGCTTGAATTCCGACATTACTGCAAATTAGGTTTCATATATAATAACAAGATTTCTTTCATTCTTTGAAGTTGGAGGTTAATAGTTTGCCCCCAAATTTACCTCCGGTGTCGCAATTTCAGATGAAAATAAATAAAGATGAGTTTTAATAAGTAGGATTTGAAATTACTCATTTTTTGGATTCAATCAATCAAATGTTAATGGTGAAAACTTTTAGAAGCAGTATTCACTGATCCGAATTGCTTTACGGTGAAATCTTAAGGCTAAAAGACATCTATCTGATGTGAATTCCTACTTATGCCGCAATTAATGAGTTTATCTTTGTTCTTGGATTTTATCCTCTTTGTTGCGGCGGTTGATGATTCAAAGTAATTTAGTTTTATCGTCATTAATTTCAATGTTTTCAAAAGGTATTTTTCAATTTGAACTGAAAATTTGATAGCTAAAATTTTAAGCTAATTAGTATATTCATATCATGCACTGTAATGTATTGAAGATGTGGAGAAGAACTCCAAGGGACAAACAGATCTTTGAGCAGTTTGTTTGTTTATTTTTCTCACAATTTTCCAATATGTTGCCTTGAAAAGGTATTACATGTTGTTGCCTAAACTAGATCATGAATTTGCGCATCCCCTTTTGTACCCATTTGAAAATTGTTGGTGATAATTTAGCTTTAGACTTGTCCTAATTTGTTTTCATCAGGCTAGTCACTATACTAGGATGAAGAAATCAGAAGCAGATGAGAAGATTCTTAGCTACAATGATGTGGTGCTTAGGCGATCCGATCTTGACATCCTTAGTGGTCCATATTTTTTGAATGATCGGATTATTGAGTTTTATTTCAGCTATATTCCTTCATGCTATTCCTCTCATGATATACTGCTGATTCCACCATCCATTGCATTTTGGATAATGCAATGCCCTGTCGTTGAAACTCTTGGTGATTTTATAGAACCCCTTCATTTGCCTGATAAGCCACTGGTCTTATTTCCCATCAATGACAATGAGGATGTTGACAGAGCTGAAGGTGGTTCTCATTGGAGCCTAGTTGCATATTACCGCAAGGCTAATGTGTTTGTTCACCATGATAGTTGCAGTAGCATGAATTCAGCACCCGCCAAGAAACTCTATGAAGCTGTTGCTGGATACATGGGGTTCTCTGGATCAGCTTCTGAGGCTAGCTTTCTGGAATGCACTAATTCACCCATGCAAGATAATGGTTATGACTGTGGCTTATATGTGACGGCCATAGCAAGAGTAATATGCAACTGGTACGTAAATCATAAACATACAGATTCGGATGATCTGTGGTTTTCTGCTGTGAAGGAACTGGTTACTCCACCTGTCGTGGCCAGCATGCGAGGCGAGATCCTGGCCTTGATCAGAGATCTAATGGCAAGACATGGAGAATAGCATATTCCAGATTGAAATTTGTGTTCTTTCTTACTCGGAGTCTTGAATTTCAGTCTGAGCTTCCTCGATATCTTGAACCACAAGTTTGAACTTCTTTGATGAGGCGACTACGATTTACTGTATGTTTAGTTTTACGTCCAAAGAGAAGGGATGCCAACAAGTTGAAGCGACAAAGTGTTGCTTTTACGCTAGTCAATCTCTTCTGACGTGAATTTGCTGTTATACGTGCATCTTGAATGCTGTCCAAACATTGTTGAGTCTTATTTGGGCTTTGACTCCAGTCATTGCTGAAGCAAATTTGATCTGTAGCTCATGGGTGTTGGTTTGGCAGTAAATACAATGATGCCCATACATCTGGGTCAGTTGTACGGAACCCATTACAATGCAATTGAAGAGTCGGTTATCCGTGATATGTGCCTTATCTACAAGTAAAAGACATTTTTTTCTAAGAAACTTACACAGTATTTTAGATACTGTTGGTGCTATTATCTAATCATCTTTAAAATTTTACATCAGTAACATACTGTATTTAATAAGATGTAAATTATTAAAATTTAAAATTTCTTAATAATATATGATGTATTTAATAAGATGTAAATTATCACAATTAAACTCCAAATTTAATTGTAAAAGTGAATATCACTGTACGTAAATTGTCCTTTTTCATCGATTCTCCAGGCCCTAGGTAGCTAGTTTGATTTCTCTATTCTGTTTCAAGGGCAATCTGAATAATGTGTCCCCATGGAGGTATAATATTGAGGCAGAACATGTGGAAACATCATAGGGACAGTTGGTAACAGAACGTGTTTTTTTTTTAAACTAAAATGGAAAATATATATTAAAAAAACCTCGTATATTAACATAGATAACGGGCAAGGGAGGCCCAAAATTGTAGGTAGCAGTGACAACATAGATAACGGGCAAAAGAGGCCCATCAAAATTTTATGACGATTGTACATTCTGTCTATATCTGCATTGAAGCAATCTAAACTCTGTATATCGCATTAACATGATTTGACCACTGGATGAACCGAACCTAGTTGCACACAGTAGTTTCTACACGTGAGTCCTGTGCATCAACAAAAGCGTAAAAAATTAAATCAAATAAAAGCTACAAAATAGAAAGGCCATCATAAGCGATACATTTGGGTCCACATACAAAATATCGAGGTTTAATTCCCAACAAAAGCAATAATTGATTACCAACATCACGTCACTAATTCAATTTTTTAACAATGACAAACATCTATAAGGAAAACAAAGAATATTTACATTGGATATCTTTTCTTTTTTTCTGAGAAGAGGGAGGATGCAGAGTCATTATGGAACCAAGGGAACAGAGAATAATGGAATACTAACAAGCAACAGGGAATCAAGGATTCCTGGGACAGAATGCAGACACTGCACCATTTTCTAAACGATTAGCATGTAGTATGGTTTTGGTAAACTCATCACAAGAAAACCAATACCAGAGAATTGATGAAAAGTTCATGCACGACATTTTAACTGCGAGATTTGTTTGAAGAAATGGTGAATAAAGCTCCGTGCAGTTTGCAATAACAATCAAGTTACACAAGTTTCAACAGGAGGTCATTTACATTCAGTAAACTAACTAAGCTAATCTCCTAGCAAATTATTCAGATAAATGGCACTCACCTCTTATGGATATTATTTACGTCGAGGTAGTGTCCACTGGATAGCTCCCTAGCACTCGCAAGAATGTAGCAAACTCCTGTTATGTGTACCAGTTTTAGAATGTCTACTTATTTCAATATGCTTTAAAAGATTAAACAAAAGCACACCTTTAGATGCCTTAGGGCATTTTGTGCATTTTGATCAGCCATTGATGCTTCAAAATCAACATAGAAAAGATAATCAAAGTACCTGTATAACAGAAGAACTATGGTCATAACAACAATAATTAACAATATAACCTTATTTTAGACACAGATAATAATGATTTTAAGTTTTTAACTAATTACTTTATATGATGAATGTATTAGAGTTCAGAAAAAGATAGCTATGACTTTCAGTAATTATACTTGGAATTGTTGTTATCATCAGCTCGTAGAGGTTGGTTTCGCAAAGGACGGCTTTCAATCTGTTGGAAAAACAAATGATTTGAATAATTAGGAAGGCCTAAAACGCATGACTTCCTCAAAATATAACAGGTGACGCCAAGAAAGACAACAAACCTTTGTAAGGTTAATCTGACGCAAAGCAAAAACAGCAAGGGCCTTGAAAAGAATACCAGGACCCTCTTCTAAAGAAAAAACTACGCTTGTCTGAGAAATCAACGGCAATATTCAATATTGATAAGTAAGCTTAAAACCAAGCAATGTAAAAGTCAAGAGAAATGGATGTGTTCTATCCAGTAATTCTAGCTATTCATTCTGAGTACCTTAAATGGCCTGTCAGTGCCTGGAATTATAGGTTCTCGTGCTAACATTAAAAATCTGGTGACATTATCACTATCATCCTGCAAACCGATTTGCGATCAAATCTACGGCAAACCAGAACTGCCAATAACAGAAGTTAAAACACTAATGCCATGGACACAAACCTGAATGTCTTCAGCAAGAATATTCAAGCCATAGATCTTTGCAGCAGAAGAACTAGCAACTGCTCCTGCATCTTGCAGTCCAAGCAAGGCAACATGCTATAATTTGTAAATATGTTAGGATAAGTGATTGAAAGACAAGTAAACAGTAGAATACATATTGAATTTCAATCCTATGCCCCAAGGTGCAACATCTAATCATGTCTTCAAAAGATGAAGAAAATATACCAATTTACCCAGCAGATCAGAATTTGACCAAGGATGACCTACTTATAACTAAGGCCTGTGTTCAGAATGGATGCAAGTTTTTGGTTTTTAGTTTTAAATGAAAATTTAAAGAAACCATGTTCAGACACAATAAAGCTTACTTAGTTTTTAACATGATTTTAAATCACTTTATTCCTTAGTTTTCAAAACAATACAAAAAGGTTTTCTTTTACTTCTTTCTAAATTTTATGTTGTTCCCTCAACAATAACATTAGAATATCACACCACTGCTTCACTGATTCTGCATTTTGCCATTATCGTTTTGAGCTTTAGCTCCTGGCAAATTCTTTGGGGGAAAAGGTTCTCCATGTTTGGACAGGGTCTACATTTACAAAATGCTCTCAGATCTGAAGGAAAGAAGCAAAGATGAATTGTTCCAATGATGCCACACTGATTGGAGTTAAAACTTTAATGTATAACCATTGATCAACAAAACACCAGAAATGATGCTACCTACATAGCTTTTCTTAGAAATATGTCTTATGATTTCATTTTTGTATCTTAAAATATGTTAGAGTACCCTAGAATCTTCGAGTTAAATTCTTATTTTATATTTTATGATCTGTTTCCTTATTTAATTAGAATCTTTGTAATTATAGATTTATTAGAATTAGATCTATTAGAATTTGATTTATATGCATATCAGATCAAGCATATAGGCATAAAATATTCTTGAATTATTTGTATTTATTGCAATCGATATCAATCTGCTGGTGTAGTTCAGACTCGTGGTTTCAATGTCCCTTGCATGTACTTTTTCCCCTTTCAACACCTTTCAATAATTCTACACTAACCTTTGCAGCACCAGCCGTATCATCAACTGCTTCTCGCACCAATCCCAATTTTGTCAGTGTGTTCTCACATTGAGCCAGAGCCTGAAAAAGTGTCAGTTTGGGCTATGTTTGTGATCGGGGGAAGGTAAGACTTAAAATGTTAGAATCGCACCTGTGGATGACTTAGAACCCGGTTCAAATCCCCAAGTTTAACACCATGATTGGCCATCAAACAGTGACGGACAGCATATTTTACTTCTCCTACTATATGTAAACTATGCCGGAGTAAAAGGTCATAATTTCTGTGGATGCTTCCTCCTAAAGAATTCTCAATTGGCAAAACTGCTCTGTCCACAAGCCACCTTTCAACAGCCTAGAACAGAAAACCAAAAATGAGAGAAACAAAGAGATTAGACCTCTGGGAAAATGTCTAAACAAAAAGGTAATCACGATAAGAAAACAACAATAAGAAAATACGACTAAGATCTAAGAACTAGAATGTTTGATTTCGAATTTTCAGTGGTTCCAGTAGTAATGCAAGAAAATAAGAGATAAATTTGTCCGGACAAGAACTATACAATATAAATTAATCAAGATTAACATGAATTCAATGAAGAAAACAGGGGAAACCAATAACGAAACTTTAAAAAGAGATAACAGATCAAGACGATAGGGTCACAAAACTTCACATCAAAAGTGGTGTCAAATTGTTCACACGGCACAGCTTCACAATTTGGGTAGGCCTTCTGTGCTGCTGATTCACTGTAAGCACCATGAACCCCCTGAAAATGAAGAATTTAGCTATATGAAATCATAAACAATAGGTGTAAGACTTCAAATACAATGCACAAATTTACCCCGTCATTCAGTCATATAATTGTCGACTCCATGTTAATTACATTAAAAAACGTATATAACAAGGCAACAAATAAACTCTACATGCAATTAGGTCCTGCCACTCTTTCAATTGAGAAATAAAAGAAGAAAAAAAAAACAAATGTGAGTGTAAAGTAATTCATGAATCACTGCCACAGCTGGTAAAAAACTCAAGAAAGTGATGTCAAATAATCGTTTTAAACAAGATCCGCTGTCTATTTTATTGTTATTTTGATGATCGTGCTTATATACAATAATAATTGCTTGTTTCTTTACACACACACAAAAAAAAAAAGGAATTCGATTCCACTAATGAACATGCAATGTGAAAAGCAAGCAAACACCTGATATGCCACACGAAGGCCAGAACCGTCAGAAACTGAAGCAGTTAAAGGGCCTGAAAATTGAATCGCGAAAACCGTTAATAGTAAGAGCTACGAAAAAGAGGGGGAAGGCGTAGAATAGAATATTAATAGGTACGCGGAAGAATGAGCGGATCTCGCGAAACGACGTCGTGGGGGGCGGTTCGCAATTCGACAGAGTGAGGATTATCGGCGAGATCGTTCTTCTGCTGTTTCTCCTCGTAAAGAGAAGCTCGAATGCTGAGGTTACGGTACCGTTTAGAGTGAAGTTTGAGGTTGAGGGACGGTACGGCGTCTGACGGCGGAGATAGGCGGTGGAGATAGGGCGGAGGGTGGGCTACGATACGCGACGCTGCCATCGAGACACAGTCAGAGACAGTGTTTGATTTTCCAGAGTATGCACTCAAAGTCCGTTCAGGACAACGTTTGATAACCCAATCCAAGTAATCTTAATTTTCTTATGATAGTAGTTAATATTTTTATTTAATTTTATCCAAAAAGTTTTTTTATTATTGTATAAGATTTCATTTTCCGATCTTTTATAACAATGTATAATGTTTAAAAAATATTTATTATAAACTTTTATTGAATAGATAATATTATTGCATACAAATTATCATTTGCTAAAAAAAACCTATATATAAATATTATTTTAAAAAATACATAAAATTAATATTAATACGTAAATTCGTATGTGTTTGTATTAGTAACAATAAATAAATAAACTATTTTTCCTTAATTTTTAAAAAAATATCTAACCACTTTTAATTTCTTTCTTAATTACATTCATGGTTTTATAAAACCTTATTTGAAAGATGACGTAGTCTCTTTTTTTTCCTTCTTAATAGTATTTTTAGCATTTAAAAAAAAAACTTCCTATTTTCTTAAAACAACATCTTAATAATGTTTAAATTGTCTTCAATCATATTTGGTAAAATTTTAGTTAAATTAAAATATAAAAGTATTTTTAAATCATTGTTTCTATAGCCCAGTTCAGAAAAAAAAAAAAATTACAGGTAGGTGTGATTTTGTATAACCATTTATTTAATTAGGTGTTTTAACATGTTAAAGCCTTGTTTTGGAGAATGTGAATTTGGATACTTAGCATTTCTATGTTTGCCATAAGCCTTTGGTTGTTTAAATAGATTGTTGAAAATAAATTGTTTTTGAAATTATTTATCATTTAATAAAATTATATAAAAAAATAGTTTATTTATGTTTTTAACTATATTTTAACTTTATATTCATATTCAAACTTAAAAATAATATATAAATTTAATCGTTCTAAAATTATTAAAGTTGTATATTTAAAAAGTTATCAATTTAAAAATACATAAATAAAAGAAAAAATCACGAGAAGAAAATACATGTTATAAATTTTTTATATATTTATAATTTGTGATTAGATGAAAAAAATGCAATCCTTATCAATAAATCACCAATTTTCTACATCATACTTATGGAAGTTGTTATATCATGATTTAAGTTGTTTTTATATGAAAAAAAAATGTTAAAGAGTGTTTTGTTTAAAAAGTTAAAAACTAATTTACGAGGAAGTTAGCTTTGAAATTTCCAATGCCTTTTTTTAAAAAAAAATCAGTTTTTAATTTTTTTTACTTTTAAAAAAATAATTTTTGTAATAATTAATTTTTAAAATCGTTTATAATTTGTTATTAATAAATATTAACATTTTCATAAATAATTATATTAAATCATTTATTTTTAATATTATAAAGTTATTAAATTCCCATCATAGCTTTTCCTGTGTATGTTATTTTTCTTAATTTAAATTAGTTTTTAAAAAATTATTAAATAATTTTGGTAATTTAATTTTAAAAAAATTCAAAAATAATTTTAAACCATTTTTATAAACTAAAACATAAATTAAAAAAAAACAATATTTTATTTTTTTCAATATTTAAAAAAAAAAACAATAGTTATAACATTATTATTATAATATTGTCAAACATTTAATTATATATATATATATATATATATATATATATAAAAAAGTTAATTCATTTTCAAGTTCTCATTTAAAAATATGAAATATATAGTTTATAAAAAAATATTTAATAAGTTAATTCTTATTTAATTAGTTCGAAGTAATAAAAGCTTAAATTACCAATTTCTTTTAATCCTTTAAAATATAATTATTTTATTAAGATAAATTTTGATATATGATAAATAAGAATAACAAGATCAAAAAATATGACATAATAAAATTTAATAAATATAATTATAAATAAAATAATATTAGTTACTACTATGATTTATGTAAAATATTTAGAAAAAGATAAAGAAGAAAAAAAATTTACGAAAAGATTAAAAAAATATAAATTGGGTAGAAGAAAAATAAAAATTGGTGAAATATTAAAAAAATAACTTTATATGTAATAGAAAAAGAAAAGAAAATACATTTAAAGTATTAATATTTTTAATTTAAATATAAAGTCCAGGCGGGGATAGGGTCGGGGTCGGGGTGGGGATTGCATTACCCATCCTCGCCCCCGCCTCGCCTCGCCCCACCCTCACTCCCACCCTCGCCCCTACTTTTTAAAGCAGGAAAACCCGAACCCGTCCCCGGTCAATTCGGATTTTCTCCGTCAAACTTGAGACGGGATGGGTCGGTCTCTACGGGTACGAGTTTAATTGTGATCCCTAGTTATAATAATAATATTATAAATAAAAAATGATAAAATATTTCTTTTACATATATATATATATATATATATTAATATAAATATAATAAATTAAAATGTATATTTAATTAATAATGATTATAAATTATAAAATTATAAATATTTAGTTATATATAAAAAATAGATAGTAAAATTAATTTATTATAAATGTAATTATATATTTAAAAAAAAAATAGATCGGAACAGGAGAGGGATTAAAGTGCAAGGTGATAAGAATTCAACAATGTTGCTTTTACTTTCTTAGACGTCTATTCTTTAATATTATATAAGTTCGTGTAATAACATATTTTATGTATATGAAATGAAGATGAATAATAAATTGTGTTTATCTTATTTATATTTGTATATTATTTCTAATTGTAACCATGTCTTTCAATTATAATGTTAAAATGAAGAAATAAAAAATAAGATATACTTTTAATTAATTTTAGTTATTTTCACTTATTCAGAATACTGTCACTAGTTTCAAATCCTCATTTTCTGAGATAGTGTAATATGTTATAAAAAAAACATATTTAATGATAAAAACACAATTTTTAACATAATTTCCTTTTAACATATAATTATCATGATAATAAGGGCAAATGGAGTAACTCTACTTAGTGGGTATTAGGGGGCAAAAAACTTTCACAACTAAGATAATGGGTAAAAATAAACTAATTACTACTTAATGGATAATAAGTGAAAAAAAAAAAAATCAGATAACTATCATGACAATGGATAAAAAGAGGCTTAATGGATTAAATACTATTTCAATGGGTAAATTATTATAGCATCCCTAAAATTAGAAACCATAACTTACATGTATAACGATACACCTCGAACAACATTACTTCAAAGGGAATGAATGTGAATGCATGTAAATATGTATATGAATATTAATTTCTTATATCTAGATTTTGTGGTGAGGTTGATATAATTTATCTTGACACATTAGTTTAGTTATATTTTTTGTTAAAATATTAAAATTAAATATTATTATTTAAATATTTTTTAAATATCAATTATAATTTTAAAATCTTATTTATATATTTTTATAATAAAAAAGTAGTAATATAAATAAAATTTTGTATAGTCTAGTTATTTTTTTAGTTTATAACTTGTAAAAAAATATAAATTAAAAGTATTTTTAATATACATATATATAATTTTAACGAAAAATCCTTCGTTATTATATTTTATTATTATTTAATCAGTTATCATGTATCTACAAAATACTAAATAAAATTATTGTTTATCATGTTATGAAATCGTATCATGTCATATTTTATTTTCTTATCATATAAATTATTGCTCAATAATGTAAATATTTTTCGTTTTATTTTATAATTATGAATAACATATATAATACTTTTTTCTTTCCATCCCTTTTTTTATATTATTTTTTAATAATAATTTATTATGAAAAAAATATATAATTCAAACATATATTAATAATGCTTACTAAACATATAAATCAACCGACGAAAGATTACTGAAAATTAATTAGTAATTCTGAGTTAAACTCTTTTTCAGAACAAAAAAAAAAAAACTAAACTTGATAACAACGGTAATAAATCTAGCTACAGAAAACTTTATTAGTAATTGTGAGTTTAAACCTTTTTCTAATTTTTTAATTTTTTTTTTATAAATATAGCTTTGATAAATCTAGCTGCGGAAAAGTTCATTGTTCTAGTTGATCTTATCTAACTTGAGCACAAAAAAAAAAAAATTATATAAGGAAAACACATGGTAATTGCTTTTTTTTAAAACATATATACTCATTTTTTTAAGAACTTTTATTTTTTATGTTTTTCTTCTCATTTTAATTTTTGTAAAATAATAATAATAATAAGTATATTTTTTTATTTTAAGATTAAAACTTTATTGATGATTTATACTTTAAATTGTATAACATATAATATATAAATATAAATCTCTTGTTGAATTCAAAATAATTTAAAAAAAATTAAAAATAAGTTTTAAATATACTAATTTTCGAATTATATTTTTTACAAATCAATTTAGTATTGTAGAATCTAAAATATATTTCTAAAAAATACATATGAAAAACACAATCCATAATTATTTTTGAATTGTATTTTTTAAAAATATATTTTGAATTTTTTTTTAAATATTTCAGAAAATTTCTAGAATCAATGTTTTAATTGAATTTTTTGTAAAATATATTTTGATTGATTTCTGAAAATATTTCAGAAAATGTTATTTTATAAAATATAGAATTCATTCCCGAAAATTTCTAGAATCAATTTTTGAATTGAATTTTTTGTAAAATATATTTTGATTGATTTCTGAAAATATTTCAGAAAATTTTATTTTATAAAATACAGAATTCATTCCCGAAATGAGTTTTTTTAAACATATTTATATTAGAGACAATATTATATTTTAGATAAGTAACCTGCAAATATTGAACCCATTAATGAGGCCCATTAATCTTCTGACTAGAAAAAAGGTCATAAGAGTCCATAATGAAAGTCCATGAAGTACCCTCTGATATGATGTTAACATGGGCCTTTTGAGACAACGGACACAAGAAGCCCACAAAACAGATAATAATAAATCGTCTTAACTATATATTTCTTCTTACTAGTTATTTTTTAATATTTTATTGTTTCTCATTTGTTTGAAATTTTACTAACTTCAGATCATTTTTAATCTCTTATTGCTCGTGGAAATAAGACAAACATCGATTTGAATAAAAAAATCCAAACATAAATTTAATTTTATACTTATAAATGTTTAAGGGAAAAACCGACTTATTTTTTAATAATGGTTTTCAGTTTTTTTAAATATTTTTTTATTTTAAAGTTTTTAAAAACTAAAAATTATTGATTTTTTTATTAATATGTATGAATGTTTTTATCAATAATTACATTAAATTACTTATTTAATCATCATAAAATTATCAAAATAATTTATAAATTTTTGTATGTTACAGATTTTTCAAAATTCACATTGTGTTTTAAAAATAGGTTCATATAAATTAAAATTGAAGTAACCTACTTGCAATTTACTCTAATTATTGCAAAATCTAAGCATCCTACATTTTTATGACTTTTTCAATTTGTACCTTTATTTTATTTTATTACATAAGTATTTTAAACAATAATTTATTTTATACATAAACATTTATTATTGATATAAAAAAGCATAATAAATTTTAAACAACTCATCCTAGAATAAAAGAGAAACAAATCTCTTAATTTAAATAATGCATTGAAATTGTTTAGGGGACTGTATTAATGATATGATTAACATTCAACTTGAATCAATTAGTAAAATATTTAAATGTTTCTGTAAATGATAGGAAGATTTTAAAAAAATATTTAATGCAAATATGTGGATGCCTTTAACTGAATTATAAAATTGAAATTAATATGAAAATACGACTTCACTGCATACCAGCTCAAACGTGATCATAATTAGAATATTATAATTATAATTATAATTAATTTTGTGTTTAAAAAAATGTGAGAAGAAACAAAGTGGAGCATTCAGAAAAATCCCAACGAAGATTTGGCAAAGTAATTGATAAAGATACGTAAATGTTTTGTATAGATTTCAATGGACATTCCCTGAACCTTTTCAAAATATCCTCCAATAAACAACTATTTCCAAAGGGACAACACAAGCATGATTAGCTCAAAAAATTTGAACTGTGGCACAAACAAAACAAACCAACCCATTACAAACAAAAAATGTTACACAACCAATAAACAACACCTTGGACCGACAGATATATGCAATGTTCATTTTTTATGACGGAGACGCTTCTCTTTTTATATGTAATAATAATTTGTTGGTTTCAATAATCCAATTTTATACTGTGGCATGAGGAACCATTGGTGCATGTAATTAATTGTTGGGCTTTAGTCACCACCAAAGGGATGGATTGGAAAACGAATACTTAATAATGAAGACTTCTCCTTTTTTTTCTTCCTTCCTTCACCCTTTCCATTTCCACCATGCATGAGTAAGTTTGGTGCTATGTGATAGAAGTCTCATAAATATCACAAGTAATAATATGTCGCGTAAAGGAAAGTATTGTAATAAATCTATAGGGTTAATTTTAAGTAATTAACAATATCGAGACGTTGTTTAATAATTTTTAATCAAAATTTATTTTTAATGTTTAAAATAAATATTAAAAGATCAAGATACCATTATGATATTATCGTTAAAATTTATTATTAATTTTAATAAATTAAGAAGAGAAAGATTTATTAAGATAGATTAAAAAGAAACTGATTATTGGTATGGTCAGAATAAAAAAACATTTTTATTAAAGTTTTACAACATATAATAAAGAACATCTCTAGATTTATACAAAAAAATATAAGAAAAAAAAAACGTGAAATTTACTTATTATTGATATTTTAAGATAATAAGTTACATTAAAGTCCAATTTAAAAAGTGAGAAAGTAGCCTTAAATTGACCGAATGATTAGCAAAAATCTGAAATGGAGGAGATCTGAAGAACAAAAAAGAGGTGGAATCCATTGAGATTGCAGCATCATCAGCGTTCGCAATTTATCACGTTTGCCTGGAAATTAGAAAAAAAAAAAAAGAAAACATGGAGAGCAATGGACATCATAATAACAATGTTCTGTTTCCATGACGTAAGTTCTGTTCTACTCTATTCCACGTACTTCTCTCTCTCTCTCTCTCGTTACTTCATTCATTCATTCATTCCCCCACCATTTCTATTCATCATTTCCCACTTGTGAGAGATTGGGATCCGACAAGGAAAAACCCAATCCGTTACCAAACACTCCCTCTTCCTCTCTCCTCTCCTCCATTGCATCATTCTCTCCACCCCCACATTTCATCTCTCTCACCAACCACTTTCCTTCACAATTTTTTTTTTATATTGTTATTAAAATTTTAAGGAATTTATTTTTTAGAAATTACAAGGTTGATAAATGGGTGAAAAAAAGAGGAAGAAAATGATGGGAAAAAAGTGGTGTGAGTTTGGTTGGATGAGTATGATAGACATAAGGGTTGTTGGAATTGGATTGTGATTCTTTGCTTGAGAGGGGAGGAGAAGTTAATGGGGCCCCACCAACAAGGCACTGAGTGTAATGGTCCAAGATTTGACAGTGCTATATCCTATTCTATTCTATTATATTCTATGCTATTGTTTTTGTTTACTCATTCATCCAAAATTAGTGTGTGTCACTCTCTTTCCTTCTCTCTAATGCACAAGCACATTACTCTTCCTATCTATCTATCTATCTATTCACTGCACACACCCCACTCCACTGTTCTTTGCTTCTTCCTCGTAAACTGCAATATTCGTCTCTCAAGCCGCATTTCCCATGCCACGTCTTCACACCACACACCTGGCATCTCCTCCGGCCCCACCTCACACCGACCATAACCCAAATTAATCACTTTCCTCGCCGCGCTCTTTCACTCCCTCCTATTTCCTTTCAAACACGCACTATTTTTATTCCTATTCTTACTTCACACACAACCTCAATACACTCGCATCTCCACCCTATCGCCTCCTCTGAATAACAAAAAAAAAAAAATATATATATATATATAGTAAATAACATGATAGAGTTAATTTGTTTTATTTAAGGTATTATTTATTTTAAAGATTTTTTCGATTTTACTTTTAAAAATATATTATAGGTTAAAATAATTATATATATAAAAATTATTATTAATCTCAAATGTAATTAAAATTTATAAAAATATAATAATGAATTTTATTTCATATTAAAGACCCGTTTTTATAAATTTTGAAAAATATTATTAAAAGACATAACAAGTAATTATTGTTTTGTACGAATACAAACGAATTTATTTATACTTTCTTTTAACATGTACTTTAATAAATTTCTCTAAAATTTATATTATAAATTCGAGTTTATACACTTTTTTCTAAAGTTAATAACAATGAATATGAAATCCAATTATTTAATGAAATAACATGAATTTTATTGAAGTGGGAGAAACTATTTTTAACAAGGAACATAATGCATCAACTCTTACATGTTATTAGACACCTATAAAGAAATAGAGCAAAAAGAATAAGTAATATAAGATAACCATAAAAAAAATGAAAAAGTTTAAATTAAATCTATAAAATTATTATTATACTCTTTTAATAAGTAGATTTGCTAAGACTATTCACGTGGCAAGTCACGAATTGTTGTAATAATCACCAAACAGTCATGATTAAAAAATTAACGAAAACAGGTAAAAAGAAAGAAAAGAAAAACAAAGGCAAAACGAACACGTGTCGAATATATAGCTACACGTCAGTCCAATGTTAATGCAGTTTGTTTCCACTGCATCAGGATTTGATGTTACGTAAGCAAATACACACGCGGTTTTTAATATAGGAAGGATAAATTACTTTATTATTTATTTTAAAATATATTAAAATTAGTCACTCATTAAAAATATTATATTATAGATTAATTAACGAATCTATCTGCTCGCAGACTGGTTCTATCTTTGTGCATATAGAATGTTTATTTTTATTGTGAAGAACAAAGTTTTATACATGTCAAAATTCTAGAACGTTTTTTTGCTATTGTGCGCAAAACAAGGGATAGTATGTAATATATCCAACATGCGCGGTATTTCCAAAACGAGGCGCAATAGTAAATTTCAAATATTCTCCCTCTTCATCGAAGAACTTCGGAAACGGAACTCATTTTTTTCCGTTATAAACTTCTTTTTTTTTTCCTCTTTAAACAACTTTAATATTATTTTTATTCAAAAAGTGCTGGAACAAGGAAACATCTTCAGTACTATTCAACAAGTACTAGTGTTAAGAGTTACCAAATTTTCATTTTTGTCTTTTTCTTCCAAATCATTCATTCTTTCATCTGGAGTGAATGTTTTTTTTTTTCTCTGATAAAAAGTCTCCAATTATGTTATTTATCATAAAAAAATATTGCATACCTTTGCATTCCTATAACCTGTTGGCATTAATGATTTCAACTTATAAACTCAAATGAATTCCAACATATCATAGCTACTTAACTAAAAAATCTTATCAATAAAACTATTTCAAGAAGCCAGATGAGAGTGGTTATGTGCTCTAAATTTCTCTATCAAACATCACCACACTATACTATATTACTGTTAAATTTTCCCAACAAACAAAACAGAGCATCGGCGTTGTAAAATTAGGAACCGTGATTAAAAAGTGAAAGCGATGCAAATTAACGACTTTTACATGGATGACTAATAGTCTATTATGATGATGATGATGAGGATGATTATTATTATTATCTTGAAGTTGTTCCAAACCAAGACCGCGTTGTGATTTGAGGCTAAAATTGTTGTCTTTTATGTTGATTGGCTAATTGTATGGTACAATAATATAATCCCACTTTCCAATTTCAATTCGTTCAAACCTTGCTTTTCTTTATTGATTGGATTTATTGATTTATTTATCTATGTTGTTGCATGTATGTGTCTAAACGAAGCCATCACATCCTAGTCGTTAATAATTAGGATGGTTTGTGATTATTAAACTGGGAGGAGCACACAAAATGAGATGACATATCAACCTCAACCATAGAGACAAAGATTCTGCGCGGAAGAAAGAAGTGGGAACACCAACCAGATTCTTTTCTTCACAGAAATGCTAATACAAACAACGTTACCGTATGTGTTGTGTGCCTAGGGGGTGTTGGGCACAGTTTCCCATCACTCACTTTTACTTTTTTTTGCCCTCAGTGTTTCCTTTGACTGATATAAATTTGACCAGTCAACCAACATGACTGATCCCTATGATGTTCATGCCTCATTGCCCCACCTACAATCCATGGCCCACCACATTTTTTTTATCATTTTTTTTTTTTGCATCCTCCAATCTTTCATCCATTATTCTCTTCTCCTCCTAAATATCCATTCCTCAACAAACACACACACACACGTTCTTCATTTCAATCGCCACATCATAACATATACTATATATTAATATTGTTTTTTCTTTTCCCCTCCAATCTATGGTTACTTTGAACACTAGCTAGCCATGGACTCTGTGTAAGGTTATCTAGGGTGCACTCAAACCTAAATTTCCATGGGATCCAAAGGATTTCAAGTGGGATCAATCATTGTTTGCTAATTCTTTTCCACAAGTACTCCAAAACGATAATGACACCATTAATTATAGTAAGTATTATACTATTTCTCGCCACCCACTCCAACACAATCTCATACCAATTCCTATGGACATAACTCCCAATTTACCAACAAATCATACAGTATAGAATGTTCTACCATCACATAATTGGCTCATTCTTCTACTTTTTTTCCTTCTTTTCAGTGGGGATAATTTCTACATTCTTATGATTTCTAACCAAGTTTAAAAAACGGTCTACAAGAATCATTCTGAGATTAACAGGGAATTCAAACTGCAACTCATTGAATTTGTGGTTATATATATATATATATATATATATATATATATATATATATATATATATATATATATATATATATATATATATATATATATATATATAGCACATGCAATATTTGTTTGTTCTTTTAACTATTTCCGCGGGATGTGGACATAATAGCTATGATTTGTTAGGTTAGCAATCAGTTCATGTTCATCTTAATTGTAACTAAAGAGGAACCAGGGATTAAAAATGTATAAAATGTAATGATGATGGTTAACTTTTTCCTATTATTTTTGGAGTAAAGAACGAGCACAAAGATACAAATTGGTTGTGGAAAAAAAGGAAAGTAGTTTTTTATTTATTTATTTTTTCTTTTCTCTACCAGCTACGCGACAAAACGCCATGTGTGAGGAAATACATCTGATTAATCTGCAGATTGATTAAAGAAAAGAAGAAGACGAAAATAATCATTCTCTTCTGCATTGGCAAATAATGGTAACTATTATACAATCATTCCCTGTATATTTGGCCGTTCAGATGAACCTTGGAGTCTGCAGTTTTTCTAAATTGTGTTGCATACCGTTGAAAAGGGCTGACAATTGATCTGAGAATACCCGATGAAAATATAAATTTTTAAATACAATAAATTCGTTACTTTTTATATTAAAAAAAGTCATAATAATAATAATAATAATAATTTATATTTAACTAGCAGGTTACGATTTTGAGTAAATTAGATTATTTGACATACTCTTTTTAACATGTTTTTCATTTGAAATTATGGAATTTGTGGGTTTAAGTTTTAAATAAAATTTAGTCAGTATAATATGTTTCTAACAGTACTTTAAAATTTGACATTGTGATTTGAAAAAACCAATCTTTTACTTCTCTCGAGTTTATTCCAATTCAGCATATGTATCAATGCAAAAATGTCCATTCAAATTGAGCATGATTTATACTGTATCTCATGATCCCAACAAAATGTACTCATAAGTGAATGTGGTCTAAGAATCCAGATGGATAGATATTCTAACAAACGCACAAGTGGGACAAGACATGATGACATTAGTTAGCCATTTAAAAAGTTATATGGTTGCATGACATAATCTTCCTCCAGTTCCTATTATAAATTACACTTCGAAAGAATATTTTTTTTTTTAAGATATGTTGTAATTTTTATTGAATACTATAAATATTTATGTTTTGCATTTATGAAGAGAAAGAAAATAATTTGGTAGATTAGTAAAAGTGTGTTTATATATTAAAGATAAGAGTGAAGAATATTAATAAATTTTGGGAAAGGAGTGAAACTGGGTGTGTTATAATGGGAAATAATGGTAATGCGTGTGGAGTGAGAAGGAAAAGAAAGGGCATGCAGGAGGAATTGCATCCATCCAATAAGTGGGAGTTGAGTAAGACAAGTCAGTGACTGTGTTTCAGATTATTATTGATCATCATCAGGAATAGGGACCACCGGCACCAAAATTAAAGGCCCAAGTGACCCCAAAACAGGTAAAGCAAAAATTGACTCATGAATATGGAGTGAGTGAGTGAGTGAGTGAGTGAGTGAGTGGTGACAGTAGTACTTGTTAGGTGTGATTCAATCAACCAATCACTCTCACCCAGCAACAACGTGTTATTTCCCTCACATATATCTATCTCATCTATAATAATACACTTAACATACAGAATTTTGACACCATATAAAGTAGAAGTTAATGTTTTAGGGAAAACTCGTTTTTATAACATGTTACACATAAAAATGTTGAAAGTTGAATTGGTGTTAATGGGTGTGGAAGAGCGTAGAAATGAAGAAAAATGAGTTGAAAAAAGTTTGGTGTTTGAGGAGATGGGGGAGAAGAGAAGGGAATGAGAATGGAGGAAAAAGACGAAGGAAGGATGAAGATGAAAATGGAGATCCTCTGTCACTGTCATTAGTGTCCCCTTGCCTGTCCCCGACATCATTACCAATCCACATCACCCGGACATTCAACAAACGACGACAATCCTTCCCTTCCATCAATTTCAATTAATAATATCTCCTTCCTTCTTCTTCTCCCTTTTGGTCCCACCTCATCATATTTACACACATATCAAACCAAATCCTATTCTTTCCATTCCAACAATCCCTTCTTCATTTTTTTTTATTATTATTAATATTATGTTCTTTATTTAAAAAAGAAAACTAGGTATTAGATTAATTTAGATTAGATTAGATGGAAGGAATGATTAAAATAAAAGAAAGAAAAAAACATGGGGAGTGGACGAGGTTTTGTGTTTGGGGGCTGAGAAGATCGCAGAGGATTTGGTTATTTTTGGTTTTTAATGTTTGGATTTTGTTAAGGTGGTGGAGTGGATTATGGTGAGAGAGAGTGGTGGATGTGTGGGGACCGTTGGTGAGGTGGGGTCCACTAATAGTTGCATCCACGCGAGAGGGGGACCCACGAGAGAGGGGTGTGTGTTGTGTTATGTTTATGTTTCTTTTTGTTTTTGTGTTTCTTTTTTTTTTTTGGGGTTCGTATGAAACCGTTGCAGAACAGAATTGGGTGAATAAGGAAGTGAGAAGGCACTGGAATTTTTTTTTTTCTTTATTTCTTTCCAATGCTTTCTCTGCGTGCAAGCCAACCTCATCCATCATCTTGTACGGCATAAAAATCATTACATTACACTCTCTTCTCTCTCTTCTCTTTCTCTCTCTTGGGATTGCTTGTGGGGTGCTTTATATATAACTAGTCCTACGCCTGTTGTTTCTATTACCTCACTTTGCATGAATTCCTAAACTCTGTCTTCTATACTTATCTTTCTCCACTTTCCCTTCTCTCTCAAGTGCTCTCATACACACACAAACACACCAAGCTACTACCTACACACATACCCACATACACAATCTACCAAAAGCTCTTTCCTTTTCAGTTCTTAAATTAAACTCATCACTTAAGTAACTCAGGAGTGCATATATTGTCCTTGTATGGATGGATCCTTCTAGTGGACAACACCAGGTAAATATCATTGCATATGTGTGGGGTGGTCTTGTGTTATGTCAACGTACTTTAATTATGTTTTTCATGGTTTCTTATTGCCTGGTTTTGGGTTTGTATAATTTATAATTCATATTAAGATCAATTTGGAAGAGAGAACAAGGAAATTATCTTAGTTCATCAAGAATGATTGATTTTGTTTTGTTTTACATTTTTATATAGGAAACTTCTGTCCATCCCTCGTTATCCTAAACCATCTACTATACTATTCATGGCGTTTTCTATGTAATTGATATGTCTCTCAAGCTGAAAAGTAAAGGCAAAAATCTCTTTGAGTGCAGTGAAGTACAAAAATTGGAAATTTAAACTAACCCTTTATGTTCATGAGGATTAATTAATGGTTAATTGTTGGGTTTCATTTCACATGTGATCAATTGGTTAATTTGGATGTTCTGTGTATGTTTTGTTGCAGCAAATGTCTAGCCAGTCATTGGAGAACATGTTGGCATGTTCCAAAGCACAGCAGGAGAGGAAGCCAAGGCCTCAGCCTGAACAAGCTCTAAAATGCCCCAGATGTGACTCCACCAACACCAAATTTTGTTACTACAACAATTACAGCCTTTCCCAGCCAAGGTATTTCTGCAAGTCTTGCAGGAGATATTGGACCAAAGGAGGGACACTGAGGAACGTTCCTGTGGGAGGAGGGTGCAGGAAGAACAAGAGGTCATCATCATCTTCAACATCAAAGAGAATCCAAGATCAAGGATTCACAACCAATCCCAACAACCCACTCACTGGCCTTCCTTCATTGTCATATGACTCCAGTGACCTCACTCTTGCATTGGCAAGGCTGCAAAAGCAGTCATGTGGGCAATTGGGTTATGATGAGCATGACCTTTCAATTTTGGGGAACCCCACAAGCACCCCATGTGATATCCTTGGCAACCCTGGCATGCACCACTCTTCAACAAACCCAGGGCTTTTGGATGCCCTTAGAAGTGGGTTCCTTGGAACCCAAAGTAATATGCACAATCTGTACTATGGATATGGGAATGGGGACATGGGGGAGGTGGACAATGGCAATGCTTGTGGTGGGGTTGGGGTTAGTGGAGAGATGATGCTGCCTTATGATCAAGAAATGAGTGTTGCCACCACCCAAGCAGTGACAGTCACTACCATGAAACAAGAGCTTTGCAATGCAAGGGAACAAAGTGAGAGTAGGGTGTTGTGGGGTTTCCCATGGCAACTCAATGGAGACACCAACATGGGTGAGCTTGACTCAGGAAGAGCTAATTGGAATGGTCTCACTTCATCTTGGCATGGACTTCTCAATAGTCCCCTAATGTAGACACAATCAAGCTAAGGCACTGATAATTATTTCCTTTCATGTTTGATGAAAAAAAAAAATCAGTCTAATTAGGACTTTCAATCCTCTTGAGTGCTGGGTTAATAGGGGTTTGATTGATTCCCTTGAATCATCTCCTTTTACTTGTTTGTTTTTGTTTTCCCTTTTTTGCTCCTTAAATTGTCAAATTTTTTGTACTACTATCCTTTAATTGGTGAATAGACTAATGAAATTTCAGAGGTTGTTTGTAACCAAGTCAATGAAGTTGGAGAGAAGTAGATATAGAGCATAAATCATCATTTCCTTATTTGACAGAAGAGAGAGAGAGAGAGAGAGAGGGACACAGAGAATGAGAGTGATGTTTCATGGTTTAATGCAGCCTGAGCATGAACTACTCTCTGAACAGTTAGAATCAATTTTTTCAGGAGCTTTGAATTTATAATTAGTGATAGTTTCAAGATATTCTTCTACGATTGCATCTTATTCTCACCAGGTAGATTCTTAGAACATGTTTGTACTGTCTACACTGACTACTATTACAGAAATGCACTATTTAATTAAATTAAAGCAGTTACCATTGTTCCATTACACGTTATATGATATATGACAGTGGAGCTGAATCAGGTGATAAGAATTTTAGAATAGAAATTTCAGTGAAGCATGAGCGCCAACTTCGGTGAGGATTTTCTCTCTCTCTCTTTGGCACTTGGCAGACCAAATCCGACTTAGGATTTGGGCGTGAGGAAATGGTCAGTAATAAGTTTGAAAATTATTTGAAAGTGGCTTAATCAATGACAATGAGCTACATTACCACATCATGGTTTGAAATTTTTAAGAGGACAAGGATTCTGGGGCATAAAAAACTCACTGGGTCAGAGGAAGAATCTGATTTGTTTGGTTGGGTATGAAAACATGAAAATAGATACCATATGCAGAGCTGTCTAGCATTGAAGAAGTGTTAGATTAAGGTCACACTACTTTGTCCTTAATTAAGGGTAGAGAGATTGGTGGGAAGTGATGTTGATATTTAATTAGATGATTGTGATATGAGAAATTATAATAATACAGGGCTAAGGGGACTAAATTTTTAAAAATTGACCGTCACATTCATTCACCTCAAAGAGCAACAAGTACTGGGCCTACTCTGGTTGGGGTTTCAAATGAGAAGAAGGTGGAGAGGAAGTACACACATATCTATCTAGTCAAAGTCTTGAACTAGCACTATCTCTTGCTTATCTGACAAACCACATGCCACAAACATCATTCTACATTATTCTCTCTATGTGCTCGCTATCAAAAGTTACATCTTTTTTTCCTTTTAGTTTCTTAATCTGCATTCCATAAGGCCTCACACCCTTTAATGTTTTTTCGTTTATTCATCTTCCAACTTAAGTCTTCAACACTGATAAAATAAGTCACCATATCTAGCATGCTATATTGTATAAAAATAAAATAAAAAGTTATGTTGTTATTTAAAAAAGCTAAAAAGATACAACCCATTTAAAATAATAAATCAGATCTATGAAAAGATAAACATTTTTAATTATCCATAGAATAGGCTAGTCCAAACAAACAATTATTAATGATTTTGTAAATTGTCTTCCATCTTGTTCCTAGATGTGAAATAAATTTGCTTTAGTGAAACCATAAGCAAGAAGAGTGAAGGGTTTCAATTTAAAGCAAAAAAGGGTTTTTCATGATAACCAAGGTCAGTGAGACCAAATTGAAGCTCATAATTTTCTACCCAAATACAAATGTTGAAGCATGTAACATAATAATTGGAATAGTTGGAACCTTATGGGTTAAGAATTAAAGCGACGCAGACAAATTTGCCGTTTGTTCAGACTTGAGAGTATAGTTCTTCCTAATTTAATAATATTATGAGTACCCTTTTAGAACCAGACAACAACAAAGAATCCTCACAGAAGACTAATGAGATTTTTTGTCTTTGAAATTCTGAGATCATTATTACATCAATTATTAAAATCTAGAATGAGAAGTTCATGTAGAACCTAAGTTTCACGTGTTACACTATTAAACGTTGCTGCTAATTTCATGATATCAACTTGCATAAATTCTATGCGCAAGAATTATTATGGCATAGATATTTATTTCACAAGGGAATAGTGATTCGTGGGTGATTGGGTGTGATCATGGATGTTATAGATATGCTATATAATTGTTTTAATTTTCTATTTTCAACTTATTTAATTTTTTTATTATTTTAGTTATCATTTTTTTAGATATTATTTTTGTTGATTTAAATTATATTAAATTTTATAATTTTACGACTTTCAAATAGAAATATCATTGGTTCGATTTGAAATATTTTATTATTTCTTAATCAGAACTCATGTACACTCTATGCTTTTAAATATGAGAGCTATAGATAAAAAGTATTCAAAACTCTTTAAGAAATATTTTATTAGATTTTTAGTCAGGGAAACGTGTTCATTTATATATATATTTGAATTGTTCTCGTATTCTTAATCTATAATAATTAAATCTTAAAGATAAATTAATAAAAATCATCAACTAAGTTAAGTAAATTTTGCATAGATAATTTTTTGTTTTCAAATTTGTTATTTTTTTTCTAGTTTCGATTTGGTATTTTATGATATCATTTTATAATTATATTTCTAAAAATTAAATTAGGAATCAATTAAATTTTAAATTGATAATTAAATATAAATTAGATTAAATAATATTAGAATTTATTTTATATAACCAGTTTAGTTGATTCGGTTAATTATTCCATCTTACATTAAAATATTTATGTATAAGCGGATTTTTTTTTATCGTGAATGCTTGATCCTTATTTCCGTTGAATTTGATTTTTACTCTTTAGTTTCAGTTTCAATTGTGTTCTATAATTTTTAATCTCTAAATCCCAAAATCTAATAATGAAAGAAAATTAAAAATTGAATATATTTTAATGAGTAAAAAATAAATAATCTAAGTTTATATTTTATATTACAATATATTTAAAAAAATTCAAATTTTTTATTTCTTGAACGAGAATAATAATCGGTTGTAAGAAAAAAAAACAATAAACAAATTTATTTATTTATTTTTGCAGCCGAGTAAGGGTAACGATGGTTCGGTTCGGGTGAGTAAAAATGGATCGTGACACAACTTATTTTAAATGTAATGTGCACAAAGTTTGAAAATTAAAAGACCAAAAAACAAATTTCTGAGTGATTATGTAATAAATATTTTCAATAATTTTAAAAGCTAAAATAATTATGGTTATAGTCTAATCAATTATAGTGATTTTTGTTATTTCTCTTATTATAATAATAATAATAGTAATAGTGATAATAATAATAATAATAATAATTAAAAATAATCTTTTTAATTTTTTTTCAAGAACTGATGTAGGGAGAGAGTAATACATGTAAAATTTCAAAATACGTCTCCATATTATTGCATCAACTAAATGTTCAAATTTTTGTAGAGGAACGTCGTAACATGTTTTCATCTAACAATTTGAAGAAGAATTGCCTTTGGTTATTTTCCTTCACAAACAAGAAGCCGAAAAAAAAATAAACTTCACATACAATTGCTGGACTTTTTAACTCTTCAATTACTAGCAAGTTTCATCATGGTAATAATATATATATATATATATATATATATATATATTAGTTTCTCCAATTTAACCTAAATTAATCTGTAATCTTTTAAATTTTCATAAAAATGTCTTTTTAACTACGTTTTAATCTTTCCAAACATAACCGTGGTCAAAATGAGTACTCTCAACAAAAATCAATATATAACTAAGCATTTGATGATAAATACAATGGAAATAGATTCTGTGGTTTGATTTTTTAATTATTTATCATACAAATGTAATCTCTAACAGTATTTGAAAAAAAAAAAACTAAAGCATTTTTCAAATTATAAAAACTAAAAATAGTGGAAGACAAAAGAAAAAACTTACCCCATATTAGTAACGCAAAACACTAGAAGAAAAACAAACTCGCTGAAAACTAATATACAAACCACACTAAACTAACAAATAGGTAAGTTTTGAGCAAGTCCACATATAAGATTGAAATGTGTAAGGTTCCAGTTCCATTAAGAAAGTAAATAGGGCCAAAAGAATACAGAACAAAGAACCATGTTCTACTTCTCCCAAATTCTACAATTAAAAACCATAAATAACCAAAGATTGGGTACTCCTTAATGCAATAATTCAAGACCTAGGCTTCTCCTTCTTCTCTTTGAAGAGGGCAAGAAGAGACACCCCAGATACCTTCACAACCTTAAATCTAACTCCAGGAATATCTCCAACAGCATGCCCTTTTCGGCCAAAACCAGCAATAAGCACTTCATCCTGCATGAATCATAACCAGCATCAGTTTTTCAGTATAAGGGAAAAAGGTAAATAAATACACCCAACACATTTCATATTTTTCAAGGAAAACTTACATTTTCTTCAATATAGTTCAAGCAACCATCATTTGGCACAAAGGCCGCAATCTTCTTTCCATTTTTGATTAGTTGAACTCGAGCACATTTTCTAATAGCAGAGTTTGGTTGTTTAGCCTCAATCCCACTGTTAAAGATGTCAATTTAGACAAACCTTTTGTTAAAGCTCATGGAAGATTTCCAAGTAAAAATCGCATACAAACAATCAAAAGAAAAGAATACATTAGGCTGACATTTTTTCTAGAACAATGCCTTTAGCATGAGAGGATCCAGCGAATGGCTTTTTCCATTCATTTCCAAGATGTGATTTCTTGTATGCTTTATCAGCCCATCTCTGCCTTCTACGGTGAGACTTCAACTTGCGGGCAGCTCCCATACCACGTGTTTTCCTGACAAAGAAAAGAAAAAAAACAAATAGCTGTGAATTATTTGCCATATTAAAAAAAAAAAAAAAACGGTGTATAACTATTAACTATTATTAGTCCACCCTACGATAATGGAACCTTTAGTTTATTTCTGAAGACTGGTTAGTCAACAGCTACTCAATTGACAAAAGCAATACATAAGAAGGAAGGTACTGTGCAGTTTTATGTTAAAACTTCCTATGAAGTATGAACTAATGAATAAATCATCATATATCTCCTATGAAAGGCACCTCCAGTAGTTGATAACCAATGGATACAATTTTATATTTTTTATATAAATTGACATATATTTTAAGGATAAAATCATCCAACCATGAAATGGCTCCTGTTTACTTGTATTTGCATTTTCATTTTAAATTTTTGTTTTTTGTTTTCACTTTTTAATTACAAAATTGTTTGCTTGTTTCAATCTGTTTTCTGTTTTCAAAGATCCCTAAAATTCCAAGTAAATCCTCCCTAAGATTCCAATTGTCACCCATGCTACAATCCTAAAGTAAACATCTGAGGGTAACTAAAGTAGACAACAGGAATAATAATTGGGACAAATATATAGCATTTTCTGCTAAAAAAAAAAAAACACAGTAACAGTTACACACGAACACTGAACTAAATAACACAATTCAACTTTTTATAGACCCAAATGAAGCAAAATTACTTTAGAAGTTCCACAACAAGAATTACCATGTACAAAGAATACAAAACAGCAACAGCAACACCAAATCTAAATGGAACCAACATTTAGACAATACGAAAAATGCACAGAATGAACACAAAATGAATCTAAACAACATATAATCATTAAAAACCACTAATTTTTTAAATTTCCTCCAATGCTGACGTGGAGGCGAATATTATTCCAAACAACCTCTTTTAATCATGATTCCTCCATGAAAATTGTAAAGTGCAAACACATTATAGAATGAATTTTTAAGGGAATCGATACATGAAACGAAGGAAATTGCACTAAACAAATCATGGTTATTTACTATCCTGAAACGGTAAATAACCATTCAAACTCATAAAAACGATTTCGTTAAACGAAACAGCGCAGCAAATTGAAACATTGAAACTGACCCCATGGTGGCGTGTGGTGAGTACGAATCGCAGCTTCTGAACCAGACACAGTGGGCAAGTAAGAACCAGGTACTCGTTATTCTGCTCGCCACACTCAAACCCTAACCTAACCTTCACTTAATAACTTTTTTCTTTTCTTTTCTTTTCTTTTGCTCAACAATTTTTTATTTCAGCACTGATAAAACCTGAGAAGCCCAAATTTAAATGGGCTGAAATCGAAACCTGGTTGTACAAATTGACGTTTTACATTGTGACAATTGGGCCTTTAATTTCCATCTCCTATCAAAATTAGTTTTTTTCTTTTTATCTTTCCGCACCCCCAATTCTTGGGGAGATGCAAAATATGAAAGACATGTGACAGAACTTTAGGCTCTTGTTTTTTGTAATCCATAATTTCTTCCTGCAATTTCCTACTTCAAGTTAAATATCTAAAATATTCTTCTCATAATTTTATTTTTTATCTTAATTTTTTGCATTTGTGTACAACTTCTCCACTTTTATTCTTCAACACCTCCTTTGATTAATTGATTTTTTTTGCTAAAAATCTTTTCTAATAATTAAAAATAAGTAATCATTACTATTAATATTATGTATGAATTATATATTTCTGCACTCATATTACACAAAGAGATCCAAATTATTTAATTTGAAACAGTAAAAATAAGACTAAATTTTAAAAATATATTTTAGATTGAGTATTCGGAATATCTTTTTAGAAAGGTCAATCTAAAAATACATTCTAAATTAAATGTTCTAAAATGTATTTTTTTAAAAATTAATCTAAAAATATATTCCAGAACACTAAAACCTTTCCAAAAAGTTAGATATTCTAAAATGTATTATCCAAAAACCTTCCAAAAACATATTTCAGATTGGGGAGTTTCGAAATGGGTTTTTGAAAAACGTTTTAAAAAAAAACAATCCAAGATGCATTGGAAGATAAACATGAAGATAAGAGGAAACAGGATTTTATGAGATACAGGAAAAAACATATCCCAAATCAGCTTATACCGCTTTCATCAAATAAAAGTTAATCTGAAATAAAAGGTTTTATATTCTGAATTAACATTTCCATGATGAAAGGAAGAGTAGTTGATTTTTATAGAACGGAGAAAACAATGTCTTAAATTGTTTTTACTTTTTAGATACAATCATTTTGTTTGTTTTGTATTTTTTTTTTTTTAAATCTCTTTACCCTTAACCAAATTATTTTACTTGAATATATTTCTATTATTAAAAAAAATATTTTGTTGTAGCTAACATTAATTGTCTCTTAGCGGAGGTCGGTGAGTCGAATCACAATTGAATCATAGTGCTTATATAGAAAGAATTGCACTCTAATTAATAGTTATAATTTTTTTAAAGTAATAAGCATTCGATCCTACTATATATGACAAAATGAGAATATATATGTAAGAGGTTCATAGTTTATAAAAACTTATATTAAAAATTTTCAAAACTTGATTTTTTGAATAAGAATTTGATTTTTGAGTTTTTATTTAAAATAGAAAAGTTTTAATTGATGAAATTATATTAAAATAAAATAGAATTGGTACAAATTAATTTAAAATAAATTGTGGGTGTTACTTTAAATAAAATAAAATTATACTTTGAATTGATAAAAATATTTTAAATTAAAATGTGGTTGTTTAAAGTTAATTTAAATTAAAGTGACAATTATTTGTTAAAAAAATGTATTATTTTAATGAAAATATATTTCATATAGTTGTCAATGATGAAAATTAATAAAATTAAATTAAGTATGGAGTTGAATAATTGTAAAATATGATTAGTAAAAATTATAACTGAATGTAAATTTGCGTGATTAATTACCTAAATTGTTTTAATACTTTTTATAACATATTTATATTATAATTACATGAAACTTTTTATTTCTATTCATTCATACATACTTAATCATAATTTTATAAAATATTATTATATATTATATTTATATTTAATTCTTTTACTATGTTTTTAAGATGAATGATACTTTCATAACAAAATTAATATATAATAATTGCACTTAAATTATTTACAAATGTCATAAAATAATATTATATTACAATGTATACTCAATTTTTTCAATAAATATTTATGATAAATGATAATTTCATTAAAATTCAATATGTTATAAGTACACTTAAATTTCATTTGATTAAAATAATTTTATATTACTAAATATTCATAAAATATTTAATATTATATTTATACCTAAATTTAACTTAAATATAGTGTTTTAATATTAAATGATAATTTTATATTATGAAAATATTAATATAAGTTATATATATATATAATTGATTTACAAACCTAATCTAATCTAACTTTAAAACCTACTCTAATTTCACTTTAAATATTAATATAAATCATAATTTACAATTAAAAACTGAATTTAATCTCACCTTCACATATATTGTAATATAATCTAATAAACAAACTCAAATTAAATCCTACAAAGTAAAAACTTAAAAAACAATTATATTATTTTTACTTACCTCTCGAAACACCATGGACCAGCACTACAATCTATCATTACTGATCCAACGTCACACACGTGACTAAGGGAGCACTAGCAACAACAATCCACACAACAAACCACAACACCATGAACACGATGACCCGATCACCATACAAATGTTCAATCTACTATATAATATAACACACATCAAATTCACAACACAAATCACAAGCAAAAATTGATTCTCCTTGAAATAAATATGGGAGAATCCATTTTCCATGTAATGTAGATGAGCGAGATTTGATTCTCGTTGTATCAAACTTGCAGAAAATTGATTTTGTAGACATCAAGAATTTGTTCTCTATAATCATTCTCACCAAAAATCAATTTTCTCCGCTTGGAGACTTAATTCTCTAGCACCAAGACACACACAAATGTCATCGAACACAAAGCCACGTACAAACTAAGCACCCTCAACATCAAGCCTCACAAACGAACCACCGATATATTCCTTTAAATGAGGTGAAAAACCACAACTCTCACATCTTAAACACATAGCCCCTCACGCAGATTTTTAATGGCACATTCAAAACTTCAGCTACCATGATTAACATGCTACTAAGAATCTTCATCGTAAGTCGTCGATGCATTTGGGTGAGCAAGAATCATTGGAATGAATCTCTACATGCATATTGTTTATCTGCCATGTACACTATTATACAATGCCATTTATAGGTGAGACATGTGAAATTAAGTTTAAAAAATGAGAGATAATGTTGTAAATGCACACTAACTAAAATATCTTCCTCGGTTCATCTTCTCCTCTTACGAAGGAATTCGATTCAATTTCTTCCTCAAATTCACTGTCCCAAATCTACTCATAGTTAAAATTAAATATATAAAATCATTGTTCTTCAATCCGCATGAATAATAAATAAAAGGATACAAACGCAAAGTTGAGAGAAAGAGAAATAAAAATAAAAGTTCCATAAATCACATGATATTTTAGGTTTAATACATAAAACTTTTTTAAGGAAACAATACATAATAATGTTATGTATAATTGCTGTTACATATCGTTTAATATTAATTTTAGTTGATATATAGTAAAAAAACATTGATTGTACTAACGAGTTTAGCATTTCAAAAACCGAAAATGTATTAGATAACTAAACACGAATGTTTCAAGTACGATTTCATAAACAGTTTTGGATGGAGCAGGATTTACAATGCAGAGTGGAAGGCAAGGGTGACCCAAAATTGTAAAAGGCATATAAATAAACATCACATGAACACACTATTATTGGACTACAATTTTAGAACACAACATACATAAAATGAGACAGATACTACTTTTGAGGTTTCTTCCATAAGACCCCAAACTTCTTCAGCATGTTTCCATTTTTCTTTCTCTGGAAGTCATCATCAATGTCTTGGGCATAGGGTGAGCACTTATAGTTGTTATCCAAAGAAACAGTCCGTTCTGTGAGTTTCCCATTGTTTCCTGATGAAAGCATAGCAGCAGCTGCCTCTGCAGCCTTCCTCCACTGATCAGATTGCACCTTCAGTCTTCGAAGCTCTGCTTCCATCTCTATATTTGCTGCCTGTGCTGCTTCTAGCTGCTCAGCCACTCTTGCAGCCTTCATGTTGCTGCTATCTGCTTCCTCCATCACAATTCCAAGTTTCATGAGAGCCTCGCGTTCCCCAGCCTTAGCTCCCTCTATCTCAGCTGCAACTTCCTCACTCACTTTGCTACCATCTGAAAGCTTGTTGATTTCCATCTTCAGCATTTCATTCTCCTCAGATATGCTTTGCAGTGTTGTCTCTTTGTCCATCATATCTGCCTTCAGTTCAGCCACACATTCTTCTAGTCTTTTAGTTTCCCTTTTGAGTACATGCTCATTTTTGGATGAAATGCTCTCTTGAAGTTTGAGGTTCAAGTCCTCATTCTCCTCCACAATGCCTTGCAACTCAGTTTCCTTATCCATTAGGTTGGCCTTCAACTCTTCAATGTCAGCTTTCTTCCTTTTTAACTCAGCCTCTAGCTCACATTCCCTCTTTCTAGATTCAGATTTTATCTGCTCCACCAGCTCATAGGCACTCCTGATCTGCACCGTGCTTTGAATATGTTCTTCTTGGTATTTAGTCTCAGCAGTCTCCATAGCAGATCGCAGGCGTCCAACCTCGGACTTCAAAGAAACAACTTCAGCTTCTAGATGATTAGGATCCTCTCCCTCTTTCAATATTTCAGGTTGGTGTTCAAATTTGTTACTGATGGGATCCGTCTCACGTATGCAAACAAGTGCATCTAGTGAGTTCACCCGTGCTTTAGATTGGTCTAACTCCAAAGCTATAGTGTTGTAGCCATCAACAGCTTTTGCAACATCATCCCTTAGGAGCTCAACAGTTCTTTTTGCAGCCTCAAGTTCCAACATGGTTTCATTGACCAATGCTTGGGCCTGAGCTTCTGATTCTTTGCAATCCCTAAGTTGGTTTTTCATGATGTCCACAAGAGAAAGAGTTTCAGCCAAGTTCTGCTTCAGTTTTAGTAGCTCCATGTCTGCTGATTCTGCTTGTTGAGATTGCAGACTCTCACAATTAGCTACCAATTCAAGTTCGGCCTTGAGCATCTGAATTTCATTCATTGCAGTGGCCAAGGCAGCAGACTCAACAGAGAGCTGCTTTTTGGAGGCCTCAAGTTCAGATTGGCATGCCATATCACGCTCATCTATAATTTTCTGTAGCTCAAGAATACGAGCTTCTCCAGCAGCACAAAGATCCAGAACGTGTTTTTGTGACTCTTCAAATTTTGTAGATAGTGCTAATAGTTGCTCCTTGGACTCCAGGGCATCTTGCTGCGCTTGCTTCTTGCTTGATTCAGACAAAACAAGCTGATCCATCACCTTCTTCAAATCAATTTGGAGTTGAGAAATTTGAGATTCCAACTCAGATATTTTGCTGGGGCGCTTCCTCTAAAGCAGCACAAGATTACAATGTTTTACCGACAAATTACAGAAAACAACACATCATTTCTGTGCATCCAACCAGGAAAATTGAAAAATGACACAAGTACCTTATACTTCAGGCTCTGGGACATATAAACACGAGACTAGTTTTAGAAGTGACGTATGTACAATGCCAAACGCACAAATAAAACCAACGATAAGTTGTTATATTGCAGCCCATTAGTTTATTCTACTCACTCCAGTTACTTGACTACACTTAAATGTTTTAAGAACCGAATCATTTAGAAAAAAGGTAAATTTATTATCCATCTGCTAAATGGAGAAAATGCACATTGTAAGAGGAGAATCTACATCCTAAAATGAATTTCAAGTAAGCTTCAAATAAATAGTTAATAGCACCCATCATCTGGTAATTTTGAAAGGAAACCAGGAAACCGTTCCACATTACATTACACTTGGGAACACTTTTGGCATAAATTCTTTCATAAGCTACTAAACTATCAGAGGATAAAAGCATCCGAATACAGAATATGGTTCTCATTGTCAAGGTTTGTAGCTCCAACATATCTAGTCAACATTTTGCAGTGAATATAGTATTTGAAAAAGAATTGTTACCTCAACAACTGGGCTTCTGGGTGATCTGCGATCAGTGACTTTGGGGCTTCTCTCTTTTGATGGTTTAGTAGCTTGACTTGAAGAAGATACAGACTCAATGTCCACAGTAGTAGGCTTGAGTTGGCGCACGGCACGCGGAGACACCTTCTGAGTTATTTCAGAGGACCCACTTCTGAAACCAACATAGACAAATGTAAGCAAGTGAACCTCATTGTGGGAAATGGAAACCCACATCTCTCAATTCTAGCCATAAATACCTTGTACCCATATTAAACAATATCCTCACACTCACATTGCAGCATAAATTCTTCTAGCTGATATAGAATTGATACTAGATAAGTCGAACCATTCTTTAAGCCAAATTTAAACCATGCTAAAATACAGAGTAATTGAGTACAACAACTTCGGGAGAAGATTCCTACAAGTTACAAGAAAGTCTTCCTAATATAACAGAGTCATCAACTTTATAAACTCAGTTTGAAAATGAAAAGTGCTTTCTAAGACAAATTAAAAGACGCTTCCAAGTTACAAGAAAGTCTTCTCAAAATAACATGGCTGTCATCAACTTCATAAATTCTGTTTGAAAATGAAAATTAACTTCCAAGCACAAATGAAAAACACTCCTACACGTTACAAGAAAGTCTTCTTAATACATAACGTAGGTGCTATCAACTTCATAAATTCAATTTGAAAATGAAGTGTGTCTTCCGAGCACATGTCATCAAATATTTTCAATTAACTAACAAGGTGATTAATAGTGAATTTGCAATTACAGGTTTCGAGTAATTGGAGGAGAATCATATTCAAGTTTATATTATCACCCTTGCTCAATGGGGATAGTTGGTGCTACATATTGCCCCAACCAAATTATATAATGGCTTTTAATTTTGATACTCATTTGGGAGAAAAGGCTTTGTCCACTCATTAAAATTGGTAATAACTGCCTCGGGTCCCAATCTCCATTATCCCATTCCGCAGTTAAAGGGAGGAATCACACTAACAAAACATAATGGAATCAAAAAGGAAACGTGTAGAGGGATTACAGGTTTGGAGACAAATATGCTTAGCCATCATCAAGCTGTTCTACAAATTGGTCCAATTTGTCATTTGGATAGATCACTGACACATGATTTAGGTAAACTCAATGATGTCTTTTTAGTGTAATGGTATCTCTGGTTGACTTTCGGCAATTGATCTATTTCAACATAAAACTTAATAGATTTGTATCTAAAAGGAAATGCCAGCAAAATTAATTATACGAGAAAAGGCAAAAGGAAAAAGTGTCCCGAGCTTTAAGGAGGAGACTTGACATTTGCAAAGACATGACAAACATTTGGTGCACTAATTGCTGTGAACAACATGAAAAATAAATGCAGAGCTTATATTTATCAACATTTTTCTCTGCTTTAGAAATTCCAAATGACATTAAAATACAACATAAATCTAGGTAAGGAACACTTCTGAGCAGAATAAGCATTCTAATTGCATTTTAAAACCAGAATTCCTTGTGAACTAGCAAGGTAAAACGCAACATTAATACAACAGGAAAATGAAGAGAAACCTTGTCTTTGGTGTCTGCATGGCTTAATATCCTCCTGCCCAAATGAAGAGAAACCGGTTTAATAATCTGGGCCTCGCTGCTTGAATGCTCCCTGACCCACAATGACTGTAACAGTTCAGACAAATATCACACACTGAGACAAGAGAATCCAATGAGAAGGTAGAAGTTATGGAAAAAATAAATGTGTTCATGCAGGATGTTATGATCTTCTTATCTTCACCTCCTTAGCTATAAATGCAGAAGCTTAGCTAAACGTGATTTTGACTTCAATGTTAAAAAAGCACCTTAACCTTACTAGTGACAAGTTACCTAAAAATACAACTACTTCATAAAGATAGTTAAAAAGGAAAACACTTAATAGATTTTCACTGCAGTTCACTCCATCCTAAAGTATCAATTAAAATAAAAATGGTCAAAAGATGTCACTAGAAAATGTGTGCAGGAACAAGAGATGGACACCACTATCAATGGATGGAAAAATAAAAGTCAAGTAGATTGGCATTAACACAAAATGTCACCCACAGGCCCACAGATGAGGGAAAATGTTCTCATTACCAACTGCTGCTATGATAAGCTATTTCAGGCTAACAGTACCCAGTAATGATCAATAGGGGCCTACAACTACAACAACAGAAAATGATGAAATTTCACAGGTGCCAACATCTCCCCATCTCCAACAAGGAAAATACCAATTTGCCCCTATGAACTAATTAAACTTACCGATCCAACCCGAGAAATGTAAAATTGAAGCTTTAAAATTTTGAGTCCAAATCAAAAGTGAGACTTTTTAAGAATAATGTAATCATGGTTCAATCTAGCCATAGCTCACAAAAACCAACCAAAAACCTAAACAGAAAAATGCTTGCATCGGGTTTGGACTTCATTTTGGAAATCTGTGTTGAATCCGGGTTTTTTCACCAACCCACTATAATCTCAAGCATGAGTTTAAAGTCTCCGATTAAGTAAAAATGGAAAGGTTAAATAAGTTATAAGTGAAAAAGACCCATTACACAATTACTTAAGGTTTTGCATCGAGAATGATGTCTCTTATATGGTGGTTGACTCATCACCCATTTGTGAGAATCTACCCATAGTCCCTAGGAAATACCTAACACTCCATACATACATGTACTACGGGCATTATTGTAAAAAACAAAAAATGAAAATTTCTTAGGCCCTAATTTTGCCGTGAAAGTGGGCATGGTCCACTGAAACAGAGTTTAGGATGCGCAGTAGCTGTTATATGAACACAAATCTGTTTACATAAAACCCCTCAAACCTTCTGATTCTGTCTGCCAAACGCTAAAGCCAAATGATGACTACTCTGGGCTCTAACTCATTCACATTTTTCACATGATTGTTTCAATGAGGAAACAAACAAGATGGTGCAGTAGTTGAATTTTGCAACAAAACATGTTCAATACATGTGCATTTGCAGAACAGAAAAACGCTAAAACAGAGAAGGAAAAAAAAAAAATCTGCCACTGGGAGCTCACTTCATGCAAGGAATCTCACTGGGAATAAGGAGAATCACGTGTTACAGGAAACGAGAAAGCATGCAAAAACGTTAAACTCGACGACAAAAAGAAGATGATGTAACAATGTGAACGCTGGAAAAAACCCATCTTTTGAGGAAAAAAATGAGAGAGAACAGAGAGATTAATTTATCAAGCATGAAATAAAAAGCTGAAGAAGCAGATAAAGAAACAGACAAAAGAAGTACGTTGTAGAATAGCCCCTTTTTCTTAATATATTCCTTTTGCTTTTGCAAAAGGATGAGTGAAATATATTATACACGAAAGCTACGAAACCTTGCAGCTAGCTCGAATATTGATGTCAGTTTGTTTTGGCATAACTTTTGACAAGCAAAAAGCGGTTTTGAAGAGAGAAAGACTGGAAGAGTTAGAAAAGAAAAATCCCGTTTCAGGTTCAACAAAGTAACGTCTTTATTTCAGTAAACTAAGAAGAAGCAAACCAGGTTTTTAACCAAAAAGTAAAAACAAATGTGAAGATGGAAAAAACCGAAACTGTGAAGAAACACATAATTAGTTGTAGAAGAACGTTGGAGTTTAAGGATGTTTAAGTACCACAGAGAGTAGTTTTCTCTAAGCAATGTGGTACTTAGAACTGTGTGGTGTTTCACCACTTTGCATTGAGAATGTAAATGGAAATTAAGTAAGGAAATGGATGTATATATGCATGGATCCATGAGTGCTAACCTTGACCTAGTGAAGGTTGAAGAGTCGTTGGAGTGTGGTGTTTATCTTTGAGGGTGGTTTAGCATTTTGGCTTCCATTGTTTTAGGGTGTGAAGTGGAAGGTTACAGAGGATGGTGAGAGGGGAGATAGAGGTAGTGAGTGGTGAATGGTGAGAGGAGAGTGAGGATGGAAACAAAAGAGTACAGTGTTTGTCATTTCACGAAGGGAAGGGCGAACTATTAATGAGTTTGAAATAGGAGTTTGCGTCCGCTTACTGCATTCCATGTGTACTATGCCTATTATTCTCACCTGCTCCCTCCACTTTTTCTAACTTCTTTTTTAAATTAATATTTAATTAACTCTAATCTAACCTCATTTTGCTAATGTGATTTAAAAAAAAAAAATATATATATATATATATATATATATATATATACTTTTGACATTTTTGGGTTTGAATTTGAAAAAAAAATACAAAATAAAAGATAATATAATAAAAAGTTATCCAAGTATGCGAAGAAAGATAAATTTACAAAATATTTTTTTATATTTTATATTTTTTCTTTTTATATATGAACGGAAAATAAAATTTATAAACTTAATAAAAAATAATTTTTATTTCTTTCTTTTTTTATTGAATAAGAAATTTTTTTCTTTTTGTTCATTTATACGTACATTAATTATGTTTTATATTTTTCCTTTAAACTGATGCAGCTAAGAAAATAATTTTCTTTTCTTTTCAAATGCGTTTTTTAATTTGTATCAAATGCAGATAAATTGATATTAAAGACAGAATATAATGTCAGGTTATTGTATCATGTGTCAATCATGATAACAAAACATATGTTTATGAAAACTAAATAAAATAATAAAATAATTTTATGAAAATTTAAAACTTGTAGGAACTAAAATAATGTTGAGAATTTAAGAAAATAATATTCAAATTTTAAGGAATAAATTTAAACTTAATATATTGAGGGAGGACGTAATGTTTAATAAATATTTAATATAAAAATGATTTCTAGAAAAAAAAAAACATCTCACAAAATACTAATAAATATATATATAAAAAATTCCTAACCTTCTTTAATTAGAGTTTTTATATTTGTAATTATATATAATATAGAGATAAAATAAAGATAAATTAATTATTTAAATATTAATTACACACCAAATTTATTACAATATAATATAATATTACATATGTATATTTTATCTTATCACATTCATTTATATAGACTGTTTTAAAAGATTAATATTTATATGTCATATTTAAATTATACCATACCATATTTTTCTAATTATTAAAATTATTTTATTTTTCTTATCAATAAAATAAGATTATTGAGAACACTTGTCTTAATGCACCTCTCTTATAATCTTAGGACAAGTCATAAATAATTTCAATTGATATTTTATTTATTAATACCTCAGTTTATTTGATTGGAACTATCAATAAAACATAAAATCTCATTAAATCTGCAAAATCTTAGTAGTCATACTAACTTCACACAATACCTTTTTGATACCCATAATCACATACATCATTATGATTACACTCCTAACTCAATTTAGTCTCACATAAATAAATATATCTCGATCGATTAGGAATAATTCTTCTAGTTTTGTTGAGCCTTATTGGATACATCTTAATCTCAAGAATACACAATATTATCATATCATTTTATAATTCATCGTACATGTCATTTTATTATATTTTTATCATTTATAATAATTTTAGTTTATTTTGACTAAATATTTTAATTCCATATTTTTTCTTATTTGACACCTATATATTCTTTTGTCATAACGTACATATCTCTTTTAGCTAATTCTTATTTCATTAGATTTTTTGTTTTCGATATTTTAATTGATATATATGGAATATAAAACTTAGAGTTCAAAATTATTTTTTATTATTTTTAGAAGTTCAGACAAAAAGCACCCTAAATTTCACTTAAACAAAAATTTAGTTATATTAATTTCTCTTCCTCTCACTTAGATAAAAATAGTATTGTTTAAGCTAAAATTAAGTCGATTTAACTTTCGCTTGAGTTAACTACCACTGCATTACTCTCCCTCAAGTTTCATTTGAGCGAAAACAAAGTCGAGAAGTGAGGTTTGTCTAGGTTTTAGTATTTTCTCATGTCAATACCCAATAATAAAAAATATTATCATTTACAATTTCATAAAAATTAATTATCAATTCACATTCAATATTCAAATTGCAATGATCACATAATCCACACATATAATGGCTTAACCCAATTTCTTATAATTCAATTACCAAGTTATCTTCACAATTAAAATCTTTTAATCTAATGTTTTAAATAATTGAAAACTAGCTTCTTTTATCTCAATTACAATGTCTTAAACTAGAGTTCTAAAAAATCCTAAACTTTCAATAAGTTATATCTTGCTTAAAAAAATCTTAATTAACAAATTAAATATAGAAAAATATTTATAGACTAATTCAGTTTCATCTTTATTTGACAAAATCTACATACATATAGTTAAATGACATATACACTCAAAAATTTCATTTAAAAAAGATAGGAAGAAATTTACTCTATCATAAATTATAATTAGAGAGAATTATTCTATTTATTTCAATAACATTAAGATGTTATTGGATAAAAAAAATCAGAAGAGCAAGAAATAAAAAAAGTGAGCGAAAAGGAATTTTAGAGAGATAATAACAAAATTTTAAAAGTTAAACTTTTTATTTGAAACATTTTTAACTTAGCCAACAAAATTTCAAACTTTACTTTCCTATCACTTCTACTTTTATTTGGCAAAAATTTAGTATGGAAATAAATAAT